TTAACTTATTTTCACACAGTCTTCATTCTAATATATATATGAACTGTATAATTTAGAAATAATGTAGAACATGCCTATACTAATATTTTGTAGCGTGTTAGCGAGTGACCTTGGTGGTAGGATTAGAAAAATGAGGATATCACATATATTCAATCTTAATAATTACTAAAAGCAATTGAATAGGATTCAATTATTATTGAAAATTATTAAATGATATTCATTATTATGCCTATAAATTATGAAAATTTGTCACTCATACTTTTTTCTTCTTCCTAAATTCTCAACTGAGTCGTCTGATGGAAAAAAAAAAAAGTCAACTTTTATAAACGAATACTATAAAGGAAAAGTAATATAATTTAACGAATAATTGTTGAGATTAAATAGAAAAGAGAGAAAAATAACTTAATAAAAAAAAAAAAATACAAGGTTCGTCATATGTGAGATTGTGTGTGTTGGCTTAGGTGCATTTAATTCTCTCCCCATTTATGCCACTGCCCATCTCTTCATTTACAAACCACACTCACTCACTCACTCACTCTCTTTCTTCTTCTTCTTCTTCTTCTTCTTCTTCTTCTTCTTCTTCTTCTTCTCCAATGGGAAGGTCACCTTGCTGTGACAAAGTGGGGTTGAAGAAAGGGCCATGGACTCCTGAAGAAGACCAAAAGCTGTTGGCTTATATCGAAGAACATGGCCATGGAAGCTGGCGTGCCTTGCCTTCTAAAGCTGGTCTCTTTCCCTTCTTCGTAACATTTCTTTTTAAACCCTTTCCTTTTTTCTCTTTAATGTATGCAAATGAACCTTTGTTTGATGAACACATTTGGCTTTAGGGCTCCAAAGATGTGGCAAGAGCTGTAGACTGCGATGGATTAATTATCTTAGACCTGATATTAAGAGAGGCAAGTTCAGTTTGCAAGAAGAACAGACCATTATTCAACTCCATGCTCTTTTAGGCAACAGGTACAACTTTTTTTTCTTTGTTTTTTTTTGCCTCGCTCCTTCAATTTTCTCGTGTTCTGGGCTACTGTCTTGTCTTGTTCTTGTCTCTTTTTTTTGAAGAAAAATGACATAAAACATTCAATATTGAACCAAAAAGCTTGAATCTTTTGGGATGAGGTGCACTGATATTGATGCCAACTTTGGCTTCATCGTTAATAATATTACGACTCTTCTGACAACCTGAAATTTTGCAAACACAACACACACGGCTACCAAATTTCTTCACCAACACGAAATTGTGTCTGAAATTTTGTCATCAAAACTCTCGTTTTTGAAACCCTCTTGTTTGTGTGGATGTTTAGGTGGTCGGCCATAGCAACTCACTTGCCAAAGAGAACTGATAATGAGATTAAAAATTATTGGAACACACATCTTAAGAAAAGATTGGCTAAAATGGGGATAGACCCAGTTACCCACAAGCCTAAAAATGACGCCTTGCTCACCGGTGATGGCCAGCCAAAAAGTGCGGCTAATTTAAGCCACATAGCACAGTGGGAAAGTGCTCGTCTTGAAGCTGAAGCAAGGCTTGTTAGAGAATCAAGGCTACGTAATAATAACTCACATTCTTCTCTCCAACAACTTCCAAACCCTCCTTGTTTTCCACCTTCTTCCTCTTCAACTTCCACTTCAGCTCAGCTTTTGCCCAATTCCGACTCGCCCGCTGCCATGGCTTCCCGTTCGCTCGAGGCATTGAAAGCTTGGAACAACGGTGTGTACTAGAGTTTACTATTTTAAACCTGAACGTTTAAGTTGATAGGTTATGGTAAATTTAGCTTCTTTTTTTTTTTATGTCATTGGTAGGGTGGTCCAAATCGGCCGAAGGAACCGGTGGCATTCTGACCCGTGTTATTGGGGGTGACCTCGAGTCACCTACCTCGACATTGACTTTCTCAGAGAATGTACTGCCGGTTATGGCCACCGGGTGCGGCGAGGGTGAGAATTCAGCGGCTATGATCGAGTTTGTGGGGAGCTCAAGCTCTTGTGAGAGAGAGTGGAAGGAAGAGGGATTTGGAAACTCAAGCCAATTACCAGAATACAAGGAGGGTTTTGAGAATTCAATGTCGTTTACATCTCATGATATGACATTATCCATTGAAGCAACATGGACAGCTGAATCCTTAAGAACAAAAGAAGCCATTGCTGAAGAAGGCTTCACTAATCTTCTTCTAAACAACAAAGTTGAAAGAAGCCAATCTGAAGGAGGTGGTGGTGGTGAGGACTCTGAAAATGGAAGTGGGAGTGCAGCAAGTGATTACTATGAAGATAACAAGAATTACTGGAATAGCATTCTTAATTTGGTAAATTCTTCTCCCTCTAATTCTTCCATTTTCTAAAACAGATTGGAGTGTGTGTGTGTGAGGCTCAAGAATTTAGCTGGGTTTGCAGATTTTAGTTGCATCCATAATTATGAACTCGTAAATGTGTAATAAAAATGGTTCTATGTGATTCAGAGTTTCACCAGCTATGTCGGTTCTGAGCTACTCCCATTAATAAACCCTACTCTCACATTTAATTCTAAGTTTATCATCAACTCACAACTAAATTTATCAGCATAAAACAAATGTATATTGATAATGTAAAGTGTTACGCCTTGTATAATCTTTTCACAAAAGGGTGAGACTCAAACCATAGATACCATAAATATTTGTGGAAATTAAGGAATCACTTTTGCAGCTTTCTTGTGAATTAGGTTTCCAGCTTCTCCGAATGGTATAATCCAAAAACATAAGAAACAGACGAGCCAAATGAGGATAGAGATAGCAATTATGCAGGTCATTCATCTTGGTCCTATCTCCCATTTCTGATTTATACCCTCTTTTAAACAATTCATATCTTCATCGCTACTACGATAATAGAGGGTCGAGAGTCTCTTTTCATTACGACCCTTACACGTCCTTGTACTTACTTGAGAAATATTTTGGAAGTCGAGTATTGAAAATACTTGGTATATGCCCTTGGTTGGAATTTGATATACACACTGCCTAACAACAAAATAATGTAAATTGAGATATCTAAAATCGTTCGTAAATGAGCCAACTAACTTAGGACTCCACCAATATAGGATAACCAACCTATGCCTCTATCCAGATCTACAAATACTAGTTAGCCAGCTTGTTTAGTGGACCCAAAACTTGACGAGTTAACATGCACGTAATCCATAAAACTTAAACCCTTGTCAACGAGTCTTTGTCCAAGAACGAAAACGTGGGACAACCAGCCTATGTCATCAGTGGTACAATTAAAGCATATCTTGATATGTTATTGCCACAATTTCATTTTGAAATACCAATCTTTTAGAGTAGGTAAGATGTCTCATAACACAAAAATCACATAGCAACCACATGTACGATTTAAGATAAGAAGTCATTCAAACCAAAAAGTGTTTTAACTTAATTAAAAGACAAATTAACAGTTTGCACATTCCTAAACTTTCAATCTATCAACACTTACCATGATGGTATGAAAGCTTACTATGAAAATGGAACAAAAAAAAATTGGTGGAATGAAATCGATCCAACTTAATCGAACAACTGATCTAACTTAACAAGATCGACTAGCCTGATTGAACTTATGAGTTGAACAATTCGTAGCACAAAATAGGATCAAACCGAGAATGAACCTACTCAAATCGATAATGAAAAGAAAACCAGAGCACAAAACGCATCGAACGCCAAATTTGACCCTAAAACAGAGCCATTGGCACATGTTTCCAGGCAAATAGAAGCAGAGATCCAATTTGAGTAAATCAAAAGAACGACTTTTTATAATAGGATAATATTGTTCACTTTGTGCATAGTTTTCTTTGTTTTATTTTTTGTTTCTCCAAAAAGTCCCCTACCAATGAGGATAATGTTGCTCACTTATATACCTATGATCTTTCCCTTAATTAGCCCATGTGAGAGTCGAACTTGAAAGAAAACGAAGCTGGAAGATACTTTTCAAATTTTATAAGGGTTATAAAATTGTACACAGACATTAAAATTTACTTCCTAATCTTATAATTTAACCAATATTAAATTACTACTAAGCAGATAAATAATAATTTCAAATTTCAACCCCACATTAAATAAGGATGATAGAAGCCAGGCTGTGTTGATAACTGGGGAACCACCAAAGCAAAATTTTGGCCACATAAATAACATTTCTTAATTAATTATAACACAATAATAATAATAATTAAAAGGTACCACATTTATTTCACCTTATAATAAGACCTCACATGGCTCCTCCGCTGCACAATAAATTCAACATACAAACACGTAACTGTGTGGAACTAAATATACAAATCTCATTGATTTCTGCTGTTTAAGAAGCCTCATTTATTTTTCAAACACAAAAACTATATTCATCCCCTAAATCCAATATGATGCGATGGTTCATTGAAGAACACACGCTTCAAAATAAGAACGATCGAGCGATGTTCAAGTTATAAACTTATGAGATGAATCTTCCTGTCCTAATGTACACCATAACCCACAACAAAGCATCGGCAATCTTGAGCAACACTTGACAGCCCAAGGATTAAAGCAAGAAATAATGGTTTAAGATCCCTTGAGCTGCAAACCCAAAAAATCATAGAAGCTTCTGTGATACCAAATGTAATAAGATCATAACGAAATCTCAATCAGCAAACTGGTGGAAGTAAAAGATTGGAAGATATATTTAATGCCATTTGTTAGTGTAAGGGCTTTACAGGCAGCACATACATTCAAAAGTGCTTATGCTGCAAAGCGGATCCCTTTTATTGTAGCACATCGATAATAGGCACCAAAATTACAGTTATCATCAAGGAGCCTCAGTACCAGTGCTATGAAGTTAAATGGCAACAAATATGTCAGGGTCCGTGCATGGAGTGTTAGGAGTGTGTTCCATATTGGCTAATTTAGAAAATGATCATGAATTTATAAATAAGAATAATCCCAATTACAATATCATACCATTGTAGAAAGTTGATATCATGGTATCAGAGCCATACCCTTGACTTAGCCATCTCGATCAAAAAAGTTGTGAGTCGAGCAAATAGTATACTTTGTTTAAGGACTCCAAAATCCAACCATTGTGGAGAGTAAATTCCTAACAAAGATGCAATCTAAATTCGAACTCCGTTTAACAAATTCACTTAATGGAAGACGCGAAAAAAAGAGCATAGATGTTAACTCCAGCATAATGTAAACAGGGGCTCTAGCTCTGCCTTATTTAGTTAGGTTTGTAAAAACATATGAGTTCACGCGAATGGAGGAGCGTGATTCTAGGGGCCATTGTTTTGGCAGAGTGGCGGAGTCTTCGTCCACTTATTCTATTTGTGTATATTTGGTTTTTCTATTTTTGTAATTAGATTTATTATTTAAACCATTCAACGGATGTAAAATAAATATATTGAGTCTTCAGCATTACCAGCGAATCTCTCTCTCTCTCCTTTTACTTCCGCTAATTTTTCCTTCGAAGAAACCTTCGGCCAATTTTTTTTTCGTCGACATCCGATTTGCCAGAGTCAACAAGTGGTATCAGAGCCTGGTTGAAGCGATCGGTAGTATACCATCACAGAAGAGCCAACCTATCAACAATCAAGTTGAATAGCTCAAGTGGTTAGAGCGTCGATCTAATAACACACAGGTCTTAGGTTCGAGTAGAAGAAAATGCAAAGCACAAAAATAAATACATCGTGGGGCCCATCTCAAGCAGGCTCGCTCACTCCTCCACGCCGCCAAGTGCCGGCATCTCCATCACCACCACGAAGAGGCCGTGGCCGACATCGTGATGACGGGCGTCGAGTAGTTGTTGAGCGAGTGATCAGAGAGACAACGACCGCCGTCGTTCAGTACCCGATGTTGACAAGGTCCAACTACAACGAGTGGGCCTTGTTGATGCGTGTTAACCTACAGGCGCAAGGGTTATGGCACGCTGTCGAGCCAGAGGAAGGAGAAACAATCGAGTACCGGGAGGATCGGCTGGCGTTCGCCGCCATATTACGATCTGTGCCCCCAGAGATGCTGGCTTCTCTTTCCACCAAGCGCACCGCACAATCGGCCTGGGAGGGAATCAAATCCCGTCGGGTCGGTGTACAGCGAGTGCGGGAATCCAACATCGAGCAACTGCGAAAGGAGCTCTCGGAGATTCGCTTTAAGGACGGCGAATCCGTCGATGATTTTTCAATGCGGATCACGGGGCTCGCCAACAGCATCACCACCCTCGGTGGTGGCATCAGCGAGACAGAAATCGTGAAGAAGATGTTGCAGGTCGTTCCCGATCACCTCGAGCAAGTCTCGATTGAAATCGCGACTTGCTCGAGGTGATCGGGAACGACCTAACAGTGGAAGAGGTGACCGGAAGACTACGTAACGTTGAGCAGCGGAAGAAGAATATCACTTCAGCTGTTGACAAGGAGGGCCGTCTACTCCTCACGGAGGAGGAATGGCTTGCACGCCTAAAGCTCCGCGACAACACCGGCGAGAGCAACGGGTCCTCCTCCAGCCGCAAAGGCGGTAAGAAGCCATGGATGTCCCACGGGCGCACGCGCGGGAAAGATGAGAATCAAAAGAAGGAGTCGACCAATGGCAGGCCGATCCATTGCTCGAACTGTGGGAAGAGAGGACACCTGGGCAGAAATTGCTGGAGCAAGCTGAGGAATAAGGAGAAGGCCGAAAAGGCCCAGGCCCATGTGGCTCAATCCGAGGAGGACGAGCCAGCTCTCTTCATGGTAACCGCATGCGTCCCCATTTTCGATTCCAACTCCGACGACGATCTTGAACCCAAGAAAGAGCTCCAGTTGGGCGTAGCAAAGCTGGCACCAACTGGGGAGCCAATTCAACTGGAGGAGGAGCGAGTGTTCGCTCAGATCGGCGAAAGGGACGAGCAACACGAGCACCAGCAATGGATCCTTGACACAGGGGCAACAAACCATATGACCGGGGCTAGATCTGCGTTCTCCGAGCTCGACTCGGGGATCCGTGGGACGGTGAAATTCGGCGACGGCTCCGTCGTCGAGATCGAAGGGCGCGGCACCATCCTGTTCGTCAGTAAGGGAGGCGAGCATCGCAAGCTGACCGACGTCTACTTCATCCCGAGGCTCAAGGCTAACCTTGTGAGCCTGGGTCAGCTCGATGAGACAGGCTGCTTCATTTCCATCGAGCGCGGACTACTGAAAATCTGCGATAATCAACGACGGCTGCTCACGCAGGCAAGACGAACCACAAACCGTCTTTACATCCTGGAGTTAGAGATAGACCAACCCGTTAGCCTCTCGGCCAAGACCGAAGAGGTATCTTGGAGGTGGCACGCAAGGTACGGACACTTAAACTTTCCTGCCCTAGAAAAGTTACAGAAGAAGGAGTTGGTGCACGGCTTGCCAGAAATCAAAGGCGTGAACAAGCTGTGCGACGGGTGCCTCATCGGCAAACAGAAGCGCACACCCTTTCCGTCTCGAACAGCCTACCGAGCCGATGAGCCATTGGAGCTTGTACACGGCGATATTTGCGGGCCCATCAAGCCGGCGACCCCAGGCGGTAAGAGTCTCTTCCTCCTGTTAGTCGATGACAAAAGCCGCTTCATGTGGCTGACTTTGCTGCAAGCGAAAAGTGAGGCGGCAGAGGCGGTTAAGCGCATTAAAGCGCGAGCGGAGGCCGAATGTGAGAAGAAGATGCGAGTGCTGCGCACAGACCGTGGCGGAGAATTCACCTCGGCAAGTTTCAGTAAGTACTGCGATGAGGTCGGCATACAACGGCACCTAACGGCGCCCTACTCCCCCCAACAGAACGGAGTGGTAGAGCGCCGAAATCAGACCATTGTCGGGACAGCGAGGTCATTGTTGGTGACGGCCGGGATGCCTGGGAGATTCTGGGGAGAGGCAGTAATGACGGCTGTCTATCTCCTCAATCGGTCACCAACCCGAAGCCTCGACGGGAAGACGCCATATGAAGCCTGGTACAACAAAAAACCAACAGTACACCATTTTCGCGTGTTCGGCTGCGTCGCATACATGAAGGTAACACGTCCCCATCTCGCCAAGCTCGATCCCAGGGGGCTGAAGGTCGTCTTCATCGGCTACGAACCCGGGAGCAAGGCGTACAGACTCTATGATCCTGTGGGGGGGCGAGCTCACGTGTCTCGCGACGTCGTCTTCGACGAAAGCACCTTCTGGCAGTGGAATGACGTGATCGAGGCAGACCGTAATCCAAATCAATTCACGGTGGAGTACCTCGTCACTGAGCCTGAAGAAGGAGGAGCCCAGCATCAGGAGACGTCACCGCCGCCAGCAGGTGCACCACATGAACCAGTGGAATTCGCAACACCACGGACTGCGGATTCGACGCTGGATGCCGATCACGATACTGATCTGGAGGCTAGGTACCGGAGGATGGATGACCTAGTGGGAGGAGGTGAACCACCTGGACTAGCAGCGCGCGAGCTCGAGGAAGTGGCCGAACTACACGCCGTCAGTGCAGATGAACCAAACACCTTCGCCGAAGCAGAAAAGAACCCGTGCTGGCGGAAGGCAATGCAGGAGGAGATGACATCCATCACTGAGAACCAGACGTGGAGTCTGGAGGATATGCCACCGGGACACCGAGCCATAGGGCTCAAATGGGTCTTCAAACTGAAGCGCAACGAAAAAGGAGAAGTTGTGAAGCACAAGGCTCGTCTGGTGGCGAAGGGCTACGTCCAGAAGCAAGGAGTGGATTTCGAAGAGGTATTTGCGCCAGTAGCAAGGTTAGAATCCGTTCGTTTCCTGCTGGCAATTGCAGCACATCACTCTTGGGAGGTTCACCATATGGACGTAAAGTCTGCTTTCCTTAACGGAGAGTTGAAGGAGACCGTCTATGTTCGACAACCACCTGGCTTCCTGGATAACGACAACCCTAATAAGGTACTGCGCCTGCACAAAGCACTCTACGGGCTTCGACAAGCCCCACGAGCCTGGAACGCGAAGCTCGACAGTACCCTACTGTCACTGAATTTCAAACGTTGTGCCTCTGAGCATGGCATGTACACGTACGGCCACGGCAAAAAGCGACTGATCGTGGGAGTGTACGTCGACGACCTCATAATCACTGGAGGCGACGTGGGAGTCCTCGGAAGGTTCAAGAAGGAGATGTCGAAAAACTTCGAGATGAGCGATCTCGGTGTGCTCAGCTACTACCTCGGCATCGAAGTGCAACAGAACTCTTCCGGCATCTCCATCTGCCAAAGTGCATACGCGAGAAAGCTGCTGGACACAACTGGGCTTATGGACAGTAATCCTACCAGGACGCCAATGGAGGCCCGACTTCAACTAAGGAAGGCCGGCACTACGACGACAGTCGACTCCACCAATTACCGCAGCATTGTCGGGAGTCTGCGCTATCTGGTAAACTCTCGTCCTGATCTTGCTTATTCTGTTGGATATGTGAGTAGGTTTATGGAAGCACCTAGGGAGGAGCATCTAGTGGCTGTCAAGCGCATCCTGCGCTATGTAGCCGGAACCAGAGACTGGGGCGTAAGATACTGCGCTGGGAGCGAAAAGGAGAAACTCAAACTGGTCGGCTACAGCGATAGTGACATGGCCGGTGACGTTGATGATCGTAAGAGCACCAGCGGAATGATCTACTTTCTCTCAGGCGGCGCGATCTGCTGGCAATCAACAAAACAGAAGGTAGTTGCTTTGTCTTCCTGCGAAGCAGAATACATCGCCGCTTCGATGGCAGCAACTCAAGGGATCTGGCTTGCACGACTAATGGAAGAAATCATCGGGAGAGAAAGCGATCCACCAATGCTATACATAGACAACAAAGCTACGATCTCCCTGATCAAAAATCCAGTTTTGCACGACCGGAGCAAGCACATAGAAATCAGATTCCACTACATTCGAGAATGTGCAGATCGAGGGCTCATCAAAATTGATTTCATCCGAACAGAGGAACAACTTGGAGACATTTTCACCAAATCCCTGGCGCGGGTGAAATTTGAAGAACTACGCTCAAAGATCGGAGTTCAAATAATAAGGTACAGCTTTTAGGAGGAGATTGTTAAATAAAAGCTCTGCCTTATTTAGTTAGGTTTGTAAAAACATATGAGTTCACGCGAATGGAGGAGCGTGATTCTAGGGGCCATTGTTTTGGCAGAGTGGCGGAGTCTTCGTCCACTTATTCTATTTGTGTATATTTGGTTTTTCTATTTTTGTAATTAGATTTATTATTTAAACCATTCAACGGATGTAAAATAAATATATTGAGTCTTCAGCATTACCAGCGAATCTCTCTCTCTCTCTCCTTTTACTTCCGCTAATTTTTCCTTCGAAGAAACCTTCGGCCAATTTTTTTTTCGTCGACATCCGATTTGCCAGAGTCAACACTCTACACAACTCAAATGATTGAACCCCCTGCAGGTTTCAAGGCTGAAATCAACATTCCCGAGTGAAAAAAAAAAGAAAAAAAAAACTGCAATAAAATGCATATGGTAAACTCCTTTTCAAGAAAGTCAAGAACGGAAACGGAAATGGCCGGATCAGAAAGCTTGAAAATCTAATTCATGCAGAATATGAAGATTAACGACTGTGCATACAAAATACATCACCAAAGCAAATCACTGACCAAATTTAGACATACGACGTAGCTTATTTCTGCTATTTGGGCATAAGAACTTCCGCTCCGGATGTCGAACAATGCCGCTAGAACTTTGGCATCGGCATTTAAATACAGCGATCGCTGAAATTAGGGCAGCGCAGGGGAATCTCCCGCCAATCTTTAAACAAAGAAGCTACATCAACGGCCAAGCAGAAAATTAATTTTAAGACGTTGGAAATCGACGGTGGTGATGATAATAACTTTAGTTTAATTTTGAAATTAATTTTACACTCTCTAATTTATTTATTTATTCTCATCAAAACTTCAAAATCTATTATTTAAATAATTGTTTTAAACGAAAACTAAAAAAATATTAAATTTGTCTACCAATTCAAATAAAAAAAATTGTTAACACTATAATTAATGAATTACGATAAAATAATTTAAAAAAAAATTATCTTAAATTTTTTAAAGGTAGAGTGGATTAGAATACAAAAGAATAATTAAAAGAAGAAAAAAAAAGCCTTAAACAATTGCTTATGACAGAGTAAATGGATCTTAATCTGGAAGCACAAATGGTATTAGATTAAGAGCATACAAATATTTATGGATTCTGATAGAAATTGGCACACCCAGATTCCAGTATTCCCGATTCCTTCTTGATTTTCCCTTTCATTCCTTCTAAATTCTGAGTTCATTCGATTCCCCCCTTTCCATTTTTCCTCCTTTTTTTCGTTACTCGCATCGTCAACTCCAATCTTTCGAGATTTGTGCTATGAAATTTGGGAAGGAATTCAAAACCCATCTGGAGCAGACGCTTCCCGAGTGGAGGGACAAGTTTCTGTGTTACAAACCCCTCAAAAAGCTCATCAAACACTACCCTAATCTCCCTTCTTCCTTTGATCCAATACCCACCAACTATTCGCTTAATTTTGTTCTTCCTCCCCTTCAGCAGCCGGTTTCCTTTGACGATCCCGCCGATTCTACGTCTTTTGAATCCGTTCGTGACCGCTGCGAGACGGGTGATGGTTCTTTGGTTGACCTGCAGGATTGGTTCGTTAAGATTCTCAATGAAGAGCTGGAGAAGTTGAATGATTTTTATGTTGATAAAGAGGAAGAGTTTGTTATTCGATTTCAGGTTCTCTGTTTTTTGTTTTACTTTCTTTGTTTTTGGCGACTGTTCTTCGATTTGCCTGCCTGTTGCTCTGATATGTACATGCATTTTACAATTTGGGTTTACTGTGCTATTGCGTTCTCTGTGGGGTATTTGACATTTCTAAGCTAATTGTTATGAGATTAAGAAACCTATCTGAAGTGGAATGTGCACGATGCCCCATATTTTGGATTACAGTAGGAGTTGAGCCATCCATGACTATGCAGTCAAGTCATTCATATTGGCCTTCCAATGAGCCTTCACGGCAGCTTCTGTCTCCCTGGATTAAAGATTAGCAATGCCTGAGTTGGTCGTAGAAAAGTCAGCTTGGTAGAACACAAGATTGATCGAGTACTATGGTGTAAGAGACCAAGCCCACGGCTAGCAGATAGTGTCTTCTTTGGGCTTTCCCTTTCGAATTTCCCCTCAAGGTTTTTAGAATGTGCATGCTAGGGAGAGGTTTTCACACCCTTATAAAGAATATCTCGTCTCCTCTCCAACCAATGTGGGATCTCACAATCTACTTCCCTTCGGAGCCCAGCGTCCTCGTTAGCACTTATTTCCTTCTCTAGTCGATGTGGGACCTCCCAAACCACCTCCCTTCGGGGCTCAACGTCCTTTCTGGCACACCGCCTCATGTCCACCCCCTTCGGGGCTCAGCTTCCTCACTGGCACATCGCCCGGTGTCTGGCTCTGATACCATTTGTAACGGTTCAAGCCGACCGCTAGCAGATATTGTCTTTTTTGGACTTTCCCCTCAAGGTTTTTAAAACCTAGGGAGAGGTTTTTACACCCTTATAAAAAGTGTTTCGTTCTCGTCTCCAACTGATGTGAGACAACTTTTTTGGGGTGGCCATGATGATGTTTAGTTCTTGCACTTTGGTTCTGTATGTTTTCTGCATAATGTTTTCAGGGTTATATTCTTGGACTTGTTCTATTAAAAAACTATGTGCTATGCTAATTTCGTATCGAGATTGGAAAGGTTTCAGGCAGTTCTATCACTATTAGCTGTCTAATGATGCTTGAGTTCCTATTTGACACAGGAGCTGAAGCAAAGAATTGATCATGTCAAGGAAAAAAGCAGCAGGGGAGGAGTTTTTACATCAGAGAGTGAATTCAGTGAAGAAATGATGAACATTCGTAAGGACTTCGTTGCTATTCATGGAGGAATGGTGCTTCTCAAAAACTATAGCTCCCTGAATTTTGCAGGTAAATGACCTTAGAGGTAAAGTAATAGATCAATCTATAGAAACTTGAGCGTAATATCATTCATTTTTCCCAAGGAGAGTTAAAAATTGTAAGTTCATATCCAACTTTAGACTACGTCCTCTGGTTTTTGGTCCCTAGGTGCATTGTTGTTATGGTTCATGTCTCTGTTTTCTAACTATGAGTTTTTCAGGGCTAATAAAAATTCTGAAGAAGTACGACAAACGAACGGGCGAGTTGTTGCGTTTGCCTTACATGCAACTTGTAGTACGTCAACCGTTCTTTACAACAGAACTTCTCACAAGTCTGGTTCATCAATGTGAGGCAAATCTCGAGCTACTCTTCCCATTGGAAGCAGAAGTCGTTGAATCTACCCCAGCCATACAAGTCAATCAGAACCCGATACTCAATAGCTCAAGAACTATTACTGCTAAGACACCTTCAAATCTTGGGGAGGAAAGTGAGGATTTATATCGAAGCATTGTCGCTGCGATGACAGCCCTTCGTGGCCTACAAAAAGAAAGTTCCACCAACAATCCATTGTCATTTTCTTCTCTCTTTAAGAATCAGGACGACGAGAGTACCGGTGCTGTGACCGATGAGAACTCTCCCTCGAACTCATCTACTTCTTTGCCTAAAGGTAATGAAGATGATGATTAGTTTTGTTTTTTTCTTTTCAAGAGTACACCATTCAACTCCGTACACAAATCCGACTTGAATGAGAGATATCTAATTTTGTACATTCGATGTATAGAACCCTTTGTTTCGACTCTTTCGCTCTTCTAAATAAGTTCTATGTTCCATGAACATGTGAAGATTTGACATGTTTGCTGTCATTTGATATTGTTCTACTTCCGCATTGCAAATGAACTTGAATGGTCGAATCAATCCATTTGTATGGATGAAATAGTATCTTTATTCCTTTCTCTTTTTCCTTTTTACAGATTCTCAGGGTAAACTAACCCTGTTTCTTGTTCAATATGATAGGGCAACAGCTTACTTTCTACACTTGAATAACAAACACAAAGAAAATCAAGCCATGTGTAAGAATTAAAAAAAAAATTAGTAGAAAAAGTATCTGTGTTCTTCATTAGCCGGTCCTCGTCTCCTCATTGTCGTAATTGAAAGGAAGTGGAACAGAGTTGAATGCCCTGTATTTCCCCACATTGTTTAGGTGCTCGTTCTCCAACCTGAAGGATTCAAAATTTACAAGTCTTTCTTTCACAAATAAAAACTTTCCTCTTAATTCATTCCCTGAGATTATAAAGGAAAGTAGAACACACCTGAAGAAATTCCAGATTCCTCGTCGAATGATTTCCAACACGGCTACAATGGCAATCAACGCTTGTCTATGGATGAATGGAGCTTCTCTAAAACCTAATACTGATTGCATCCAAGCAAGCCGTAGCAAGACATTCAGTACCTGTAATTCAGATCCCAAGTATAATTATCAGCTACTTTTGGTTTTAATAGCAGAAAGCAAACTGCTTTTCCAAGTAGTGTTCTTACAATTGCTGCAAAGTAAACACTCTTGTTGGATATTAGTAATTTGTCTCTCAACCATGGATTTTTTGAGTTGCGTCGTAAGAGGCCCCAGTCACATACTATATCCCAGTATGTGCCTGATATTGTTGCAACAACAGAACTAACAAGAGCCAAGGTTCTCCATGTCAACCCCATATTCAAATCATTGCTTGTTCTCATTGCAATTGCAACAATTGTTGAGAAGTACTTCAGTCCATTAAACACATGCTTTACGTCTTTATCTTCGATCAAGCGCCGAATGCACTGCAAGCATTAAACAACCTTAGCTCTGATGGTTCGATACATTAGAGAAGTTGATAAAAAATATAAGCTAAACCAGCTGATTACCTGAAGAGTACGAATCCAGTATGGAATAATTGCAACAACGAAGTAAAAAGCTTCAAAAATTTTGCTCTGAGAGCACGAATTCGTTCGTCGTATAAAGTCACCCCACCCATAGTAGCAGATATAGAATTCTAAACTTCTGAAGGCTTGCACCTGATGTGAAACTGTAAAGGGTATTAGTTTTGTTGTTTAAAATTTCCAGGGAGCACGAAAGATAATGAAATTAGGTGAATGTCAAACCTGGCTGGTAAGTTGATCTGCCAAGAAAAAGTCTTCCATTGTAACCTAAACGCAAAGAAGATGTGAATTAGCACTGACCCAACACTTTTTCGATCAAAAGTAGAAAGTCAAATTTGTTAAACTTCTCTTCTCATGACTACCTTGTAGAACGGAGCGCAGACCAAACGAAATGCACTACGAATGAGGAAGAAGCGGCTAGAACGGAATATGATGTTGAAAGGACAAAATATTATAAGAAGAACAGCCTGCAAAATGAGTTCAGTTCAGACATGGCTTTACTCTTAATATAATAGCTACAGCATGAAGACTAGAGGCATGCACTACACAGTGAATGATGGAGCATACAGTGAGTAGAGCTAAAGGAATCGACTCGGTTATGGCTTCGTAGCTTTTGGTTTCTGGGTCAATCTCCATATCCAAATGTGAGAGAACACAAGCCAATGTGAGCACCGCAAGACCTGAACTAAGAAAAAAGACCTCTCGGTGACCCAACTCTGTTCCTTGCTTCAAGCCAAACATAAATGTGTAATTGACACGGTAACGCCTCCAAAAGTATATATTTGCAGAGTATATCATCAGGTGCAAGATGATGAATCCAAAAAAGCTGAAAAAAGTACAATATCAATATATATATATATATGTAGATGGTAGCTGAAATTCAAAGTGGCTATCTAAAATTACCTGTAGAGAGGAAATATGTTATTCATATACTGGTTGCGCCCTTCGCTCTCAAAGATATCTCTTAGGTGTATAACTAAAATGATGGCCACTATAAGTGCAAGAGCACAGCCGAAGAAGAAACCTGCAGGTAATCAATTCAGATTTATGATCATAAGACATCGCAATAATATCTCCATGTTTCCTATATGTTTACACACTCTGGGAAAATTCATGAACTCAAGCTTGAAAAACATTAGCTTTTGCTCTACAAGTATTATTACCGGAGAAAAATGTAATTCCATGTCTTTCCCTTCTGATTTTTCTTCTCAAAATGTCCATCCCTTTTCTTCGGTTTCCATTTGCGAAGTGCTTAATGAAAGCAGCCTCCACTCTTTCTATGAGCCGTGTAAGCTGTGGCGGTACCGAAACATTTCAGGTAAGAATTGGCTAAATATATCACAATGAAGCTTCAGGAATTGTAACAGACCTCAATAGTGCAGCCAAGAGGAGATTTATCCACCATATCTAAGTAGACCTTTGACACTTTACGTGATGTTATCTGAATTGACAAAATTATAGGTTCAGAATAACTTGAAGGAGAAAGATCATTTATTTTAGGTAAATAGACTGGAAGCTGCAGAGACCTTTTCATACTTCTTCAAGATCTTCGAAATGGCCAATGTATTTAAGAAGCTGAAGATCCATAAGGAATAAAACCGATTACATTTGGACAAATTCATGAAGAAATATAATCTTCACTACGATATCAAGACTCATATATTACCATTACCTGTAGCCTTTTAGAACTTGAAGCTTTTGGTAGAATTGAATCAAGGCCCGAGTCATCAATTCTTCTGACTTCCTCAACTCGGTCTTATTATACGATAACCGAGCCTTGGAACGTGCAACCATGTATTTTATAGTTGATGCTGGTGTTTCCGGGGAGATGTTAATTCGTACATGGGGTAAGAAGTCTAATGAAGCGGGCCTGAGTTCTTGAGTGGCTTGAATGCTTCCTCTACTCCCCTTCCTGCAGTGACCCTTTGACTCTTTTGCTTCGATGTCCTCGTCTACCGAAGCTGCGTCATCTTCCCCCTCAACTTCCTGAGTTATTTCCAAGTGTGATCGTCCTTCAAAAATACAATCTAGAAAGTAGAAAAGAATCAAACTTTCTTTTCCTACATAAACCATTGCAGTTTTACAACTAAAGATCTAACATGTTCTTTGATTTCAATGTTAACTTACCTGAAACTCTGCCATTGATGGAATTACAAGTTGAGGTCGCTACACTTCCTGCTAGATCGACATGTTCATTGACATCTTCGAACGCAACATCTGGATTCTCCACCTTTATCTTCAGAGCAACCAAGATATCCATCTGTTTGCTCAATTCCTCTGCCTCCACTATCAACTCACCCACCCTCTTCTTGTAAAACCTCACCACTTTATTGAATTCATAATCAAGTCTCCTAAAGAAAACCACCTCATTTTCACCCCCTTGATCTGATGACATGAAGAACATGCTCTGGTAGCTCTCTTCAGAACCATTCTGAACTATGTTGGTAATTATCGCATCATCCTGCATCCTTGGAGAATGCCTCCGCCCTGTAAGCCCACTGAAAGCTCTGTACAAAGACACCTTTCTCTTTAGCTTGCCTGAGGCATCTGAAGCTTTTGGCTGCTTAGATAGGCTCACTTCTGCCAGAACTGCTTTCAGATTATTGTAATCCAAATACGCTTCTTGCCATTCAGGCACCATTTGGGACAAAAACTCCTTCCCAAACTTCATCTTCACTAAACCCAAACCAGCTTTTTGCAGATGCAGATGAGTTATATATGCACAAATCTAAGAAGCAATCAAAATGGAAAATGTTGGGTGCCTTTTACTGGATGATTATGATTTGCCCATTGCTTATTTGGAGTGTATTTCCCGTATATAAATATATGTGGACATTTGACAATTACTTTAGACCTGTCATTCCATTTCTTTGTCATCATCTTTTAATAGTATTCTACAAGACCAAAACAAAAACAAAACAATGGGATTTACCTTTTGACTTTGTTGGAGCTTCATGGATTTCGTTTTCAGCAAGAAACGGCGATTCCTTTTCTGGTTGGGTTGTTTCAAGAAGACGGATTAGGGGTCCGATCAAGCTTCACAGTGTCAGATTTTATCTTTTTTACGAGTTCCGTAAGAAAATCGTCAATTACATAAGATGAAACAGAGTGAAAACAGTAGTAACTGGGATGGATTTGAGTGGAGGATGTCCCACATTCGTAGAAGCTCAAGAACAAGTTGCTTCGCATTGGAACGCGTATAGATAAGGATTGCTCGACTAGCAACATCAAGCGGTACATAATGATCCCACTTAAAGTCGGCCAGCACCGATTTGCCGATGGCGATGCTTCGCGGAACCAAAATTCTTTTGAAAATTTCCCGGAAATTAAGGCCATTTTGTTTTCGTTTCCTTTGAACTCATCAATTTATGTCTACCTATATCACTTTAAATTAAATTTAAGCTCAATAATAATTATTATTATTATAACACTTGCGGTTAGCGGATATTGATTTCTTTAAATTATTTTTGTTCGGACTTCTCTCAAGGTTTATAAACCTCACCTGTGTAAATAATAATTCGTTATCCTCTCCAAACCGATGTGACATCTCACAATTCACTCACCCTTGAAGCCCACATCCTAAAAAATGATTTGTTCTCCTCTTTAATGGACGTGTTTCACGATAATAATAATAATTATTATTATTTTGGTATAATAATAAAGATTTGCGACTACCTACCTATTTTATTTCAAATTTTGGTAATACATGATGCTGATAGGAAAAATAATAAACAGAATAGTACCATAATGTTAGAATTTTTCTTCATATATAAATACGGAGATTTTAGCATATCTATAGCCTCCATAGGTCACTAGCTCGGATAGACCTTTTTCTTAAATGACAAATAGCTAAGCTTTATTTATCACATGCAACTTAGGCTATATTTCAGTTAAATTCGGAGACCAAGAAACTCGAGTTAATATACTTGTGTTACATAAACTAAATAAAACTATAGTAACATTCGATCAGACAAAATGGTTAAGATTTTAGATCGGTGAATTTCATGGGTCAAACAACTCCGTTGGAATAACGTATATGTGTGATTATTAGTAATAATACTTGTCCAATCCATCAATTAGCAAGCTTCTATGACAAGCAACGACTAGGTTGATTTTGTCCAAAGAGTACCATTTCTTAATCAATAGTTATCCAGGTGGGTGGACAATAAATAAAGATATTAATAACACTAATTAAAAACATATTTGAGAAGAATTCTAGTGCTTATTCAACTCAAATTATGTTTTTTTGAAAATAAAGTCTTTAAAAAGTAACCATTTTCAAATCTAAATAATAATTATTATTTATTATAAATTAAATAACAATATATTTAAAATTTTAATATTTGATTTACTTTTCTCGTCCTGCACCATAATTACTTTTAACGTCGAATAATTTAATCATATCATACACAAAGTTTAGATTACAACGAATTTAATTAGTTAAATTTGTTATATTATTGAATATAGAGTAGGTAGTAAATTTAAACCTCTCACTTAATAAAAATACATCAATAAAGATTATGGATTTAATTCTTAAAATAAGGTACCTCAAATTGTTGATTTGAGTGCGGTTTAAATAAGCTATATAGGTCGTCCGTGTGGCATAGAACAACACATTATTTTTGGTGTTTTGGTGTCCATATACTTTGTGCACGTAGTCTATTTGAGCCTTAAAGTAGGGCATAAATGTAATTTAATTGAAGGGAGGGGTCTACATACCTAACCAATAATTTCGAGTTTGACGCAACACATGATACAGTGCATACCCAAACCAAAATCATGCTTCTATTCTCTTGGTCTTTTGGACAGGTCGGTGTGACACAAAGTCGTAGAGATAATTAATATGAATTATGAATGAGATAACTCAATAACCAAAGTCAAACTGATACCCTTCGTACATATCTCTAAATTTATTTGGTATATTGTCACAAAAACATGTATCATATTATTAATAGAAATTTATTATAATATTAGATTTAAAATAAACGTAAAAGAACCATAATTTTAAATTATATCTCTAGAATTGTAAATTTTTATTTATTTGTGAACAAAGAAAATTAAAATATTTTCATAGATGAGAAGATATTATTAAGAATATTATTATTATTGAAAAAGAACAACAATGATGGGCCAATGCTTTACCAGGTCCACACCGCCGTATATTTTTGACTTTGCATGGACAACATTCTCGTGCCTATAATATTATCATATCAAAATTCTAATATACCTTGTCGGTAACTCTTATAAAGCGTAGCAATCTAGGTTTACGATTTAGAATTCAGATTCAGTATCGAATAGGTCGGGCATTCTCTTGCGTCTCTTGTGACAACATGGTCAAATTACTTATTTCATTTAGAATTCAAATTCGGCACCTGATGGGTCCGACATTCTCATGCATCTCTTGCAACAAGTTACTTACTCCTCGCTTCTAAGAGTGAAGATTATCCTTACCGACCAGCACGAGTCCTTCAATATGTTTTGTCTTCGCTGATATATATTTTAGAAAAATTCTCAAGAGGTCATTTAAGATAAAATCATTTCAAGAAAACACGTTTAATTAGGATGATTCTATAATTGAAAGAAAAATTAAATAAATAAAAAGTAAAGTTTGAAATGTATTAGTAGGTTGTTTACTTTTCTAATTTATTAAAAAAAAAAAAAATATTTATGTCAAATTCCAAGTACCAATTCCAAGCGTGGAATATATATAATAGGTGAAGGAGGTAGGTGAATATTAAAATGTACGTGCAACTCACGTGCGTCAAGAATCTTTGACACACAGATATTTCATTACGTTTCAAACATAGTAAAAACAAATTAATTTTTATATATTACTTGTAAACTTTATGTTTGATTTTATAATAATTTTATTGTTTTAGGTGTAATAGTTTTTTCATCAAAACTGATTTTATTTAAATAAATAAATAAATATGCATTATTATTTCTAATCATTCTATACTATGGGCGGTATTGATTTATTATAAACAAATTAGTTACAATTTTAAATATAAATACTTTTAAAAAAATTAAAAAATATAAATAAATTTTCATTAATATTCATAGGTTAATATATGGACTCTTCTTTTAAAATTGAAAATGATTTAGAGGATAAAGAATTTAAGTTAAGATTATTAATAACCTTGATTAAGGATATTAAAAAAAGTTTTAAGAAATTATGAAAGTTAATTAGTTGGTTAGATAAATGTATTATTTAGGCAATTTAAATTAAAGTAAAAGTATTTTGCTTTGGAAGAAAATTAGTGGTTTTATTTTGGGTGTGAATGGAATGACGTGTCAGCTCAATTCTTCGAGACGGATTTGAAAGGAAGCTGAACTCTGTTGTAATTGAGCCACAGGCTTTCTCCCGCCAGAGATCAAGATGCCGAAATGGAGTTTGATGGGTTTGATTCTTTTCGGGCTGATGTTCAACGTTGCTGATTTTATGCGCTTCGATCTTATATCTGGCTCCACCAAATGCATTTCTGATGATATCAAGACCAATTCCATGACCGTCGGTAAATATTCGGTGGTTAATCTCAACGAAGGTGTTCCCATTCCCGATTCTCACATGCTCACTGTCAGGGTATTGCGTTTTCTTTTTTCCTTTTTCCTTTTTCCGATTCAATGCTCAACTTTTCCAGGTTTCGTGTTTATGTTTACGCTTTTGCATGCCCTCGCGTTTCTTTTATGGAAACTCTGTTCTTCGTTTGAAATTCCGAATTAGATAACTAACTACTTTTATCCACAAATGATATGGTGGAGTTGTTTCATTTCTAAGATTTTTGGCTGCATTTGTGTTTTCAAATTGATCTATCTCTCTTTTCTGGAATTTTGTTTGTTTTTTGTTGATTCTGGAATTTGTTTAGATGAGTAATATGAGGTAATGGAGGTTCTTATTAGGTGAGTTCGCCTCGTGGAAACACGTATCATAATGCAGATCATGTGGATTCTGGACAATTTGCGTTCACGGCGGTTGAGTCTGGTGATTATATTACTTGCTTTTGGGCTCCGGAACAAAAGCCCCCAGGTGCAGTTACGGTTGAATTTGAATGGAGGTCGGGAGTTTCTTCTAAGGATTGGTCCAAGGTTGCCAAGAGAGGGCAGATTGAAGTATGTCCTGAAATTTCCCATTTTGTTTCTGCCTTATAATAGTTCATCTTGCATCATATTATGTTATTCTTTTTGAACTTGTGGACATTGTGGTGGCTGCATGCTGAGATAAGTGTTTGTGTTAAATCATAGTTTGATTTGATATACATTCAGTTGCCCGTTTTTGGAGCTTTCACCTTGCTTTGTTAAAACAAGTATCTTTTCTGCTAGAATTTCTTTTGTTTGTCCGAGTGTACCACTGTCGAAACAAGCAAAAGGAGACCAACCTCAGGGGAGTGTCAATGATATCAGTTCTCCCTTGCACAACCATTTAAAGAACTTGTAAGCTTCCTTATGAGTTCAGCTTCTAGAGTTTGACAAAAGCAAAAAACCAAAAAAGGCCTTCAGGAAGAGGGAACGAGATGAAGTGTGAAAAGGAGAAAAATAAAGAAAGATGAAGAAGATGATGCTATACTAAACAACAGAGAAATAGAAGATCGAAATTCTTTTATTCTGAAGACTAGCGTGAAGGACTGCCCCACTGGTTGAAGGCTGGACCATAGAAATTCCATTTGAATCTAAAAGTGAAAGAGAACCTTCAAGGAAAAAATGCAATGAAGTCATAAAACACTGGAAGAATGAAAATTTCAGATTTTTTTTATCCAAAAGATTTTGTAATAGCCCAACTCCACTGCTAGCAGATATTGTCTTCTTTGGGTTTCCCCTCAAGGTTTTTAAAATGCGTCTGATAGTAAGAAGTTTACACACTCTTATAAAGAATTATTCGTTCTCCTCTCCAACTGATATGGATCTCACAATTTACTCCCCATTCGGGGCCCAGCATCTTCGCTGACACTCGTTCCCTTCTCCAATCAATGTGGGACCCCCCGATCCACCCCCCTCCAAGGCTTAGCGTCCTTGCTAGCACACCACCTCGCGCCCATCCTCCTTTGGGGCTCAGCCTCATCGCTGACACATCGCCCGATGTTTGACTCTGATATCATTTGTAACAGTCCAAGTCCACTGCTAGCCGATATTCCCCTCTTTGGATTTTTCCTTTCGGGCTTCCCCTCAAGATTTTTAAAATGGGTCTACCAAGGAGAGGTTTTCACACCCTTATAGAATATGTTTTGTTCTCCTTTCCAATCAATGTGGGATCTTACACTATAACTTTGGACTACCCTACCGATTAGAGGTAGGACTATCATTTGTATCCCTTTTGAAACTTAATCAAAGGAAAGGGAAACCTTAATGGAAAAAGTGCAGTCGATGCAGCTTAAACTAAGAGGGTCATGCTTGCGGATCAAAGTAGCTGGGTGCTTTTTAGAGGCCACAAAAGCAAAAAGAAGATGAAGTCTTTCATATATAATGATTATTTATAGGTTTGGGTGGTTCTTAATTTATGAAGTTTATGCTGCTCTTTTGATAATATGGTCATCAATATGCTATTTTGATCATTTATTTGTATATCTCATAACGCACATTTGTCATGATTGAAATATCTTAAAGAAAGTAAATTTTCACCAATAGCTCCTTGTACTAACTTGCATCTCATTATGCCTGTGGTTCATAACCATGTCTCTTGGGTCTTTCTACATCCCATTTCATGGACATTAGTTTTCATTATGATATGCTAAGAGATATATTTATTTTAACATGGATCTTTTGAGCTTCTGTTTTGAACTCTTACTTCAACGTAGATGTGTTCTTGTTTTTTTTTTATAGAACAATGTGTCGTGGTCATCTCTGATGACATAGTTCATCATCATCTCTTATGTTAGGTAATGGAAGTTGAGTTGAAGAAGTTGTACGACACTGTCATCTCCATACATGATGAGATGTTTTATCTCCGCGAAAGGTACACTAAAATTAAATGTGTTTGTGTCTGAGATGATGTGATGGTTGATTCTCTGTTACTGTATTCCTTTTTTATTTTCAGGGAGGAGGAAATGCAGAAACTGAATAGAGCTACAAACGCAAAGATGGCCACCTTCAGTTTCCTATCACTTGGAGTTTGCTTGTCTGTTGCTGGTTTGCAGTTATGGCATCTCAAGACATTCTTTGAGCGCAAGAAGTTGCTCTGATTTTTTTTTTTTCTTTGTGTAGTCCTCTTTTTTAAATAAAAATTTAGCTATTAGATGCTACAGTTTATGTTGGACTTGAATTTGCAGAGAAATTGAGAGTTCTGAAGAACACTCAGCTGCTGAAAACAAGCTAGGTGAAACACTAATTTTAAGAACTCTCTCTCTCTCTCTCTCAAGAAGACACACTCTCTCCCTCCCTCGACCAAGATCGACTTGAGGAAAGGAAAGGTGTTAAGGATATTTAGTAATAAATTATAGTTTACCATATATACTATATTTGATATTTTATTATAAGGCAAATAAATATTTGCCTTATTATAGGTATCTTTCCATTTATTGTTATTTCCATTTATTACTATTTCCATATCCTTGTAATTCATTTGATTATAAATAAGATAACTTTCACACCATTTAGGTGGTGTGGTGGATTAATCTGTTAAGGATATTTAGTAATAAATTATAGTTTACCATATATACTATATTTGATATTTTATTATAAGGCAAATAAATATTTGCCTTATTATAGGTATCTTTCCATTTATTGTTATTTCCATTTATTACTATTTCCATATCCTTGTAATTCATTTGATTATAAATAAGATAACTTTCACACCATTTAGGTGGTGTGGTGGATTAATCAAACATTCACAAAAGGTAAGTGTTAAAAGATCATCACTGGGTTAAGTCAATAATTGTATGAACTTTAGAAATAATCAAGTGTTTTGAAGAGAGGGGAGATGCATGTTCTTGCAACAATTGCAAGGATAGTATTGTAAACGATAATCTTGAATTGCGTGAAATGATTACCCATTTTTAGAAGACTCCAAACCAAATCAACTTCGATTCCTCCTCTTTTACTATCCAGACACGCCAAACAGCCATAATAATATTTATTTAATCCATCATTCAAATAATATAATGAGATAGATCATCCACGAGACCCCACATTGTTATTTATTGGAGATGCAACTTGTTAAATCAATAAATAGAGGGATTTATGTATGAACCTTGGAGAGAAGCTCCATGATGCTGTATTCAATTACACAGCAGCCAGGTCTGTGCGTTAAAAATGGCGTTGTTCTTCAGAAATCCCACCTCAAGAACCAAAAAATGAGTAGGTGGAAGTGCTTTGCAGTGTCAAAAGCATGTTTATCTGTTTCTTTGAGATCTTTCAGTGACATACCGCTTTATGAGCCTCAAGGGGTAACAATACTTCTTCTTCCTCCCATGAATCCCCCTTTTTTGTTTAGGTATTGACTTTTATTTTTCGCTGTAGAAAGCTTCTTTTGATCAGTACTTGGAAGATAAACCCAGATTGGTGAAAGCAGCATTTCCAGGAAAAAGTGAACAGCTCAACCAGGTTTTCTTTTTCATCATCTTTCTTCAACATTTTTGCCTTCTTTTCCATTCAAAAGAGTTCAACATATCTACACTTCTTATATTTTTAAGGAAGAGTGGAGAATTGAAACACCAAAGATCGAGTTTCTGTTTCTGAAGATATGGCCAACCATTGATATCAAAATCATCAGTAAAACCAGTGGAGAAGGCTACCCATCTGATGTTCCTCATAATATCACAAGAGTTCTTGACCTTCAAATGGTAATTCGTTTCATTGAAAAAAACAATCCTCAAATTAGTTATAAATGTTGTTTTGTTTTTTTTTTTTTTTTTTTTT